ATATAAAAAAAAAAAAAATTAAAGTAGGAGACAACAGGATTTTAATGGTTAACTTCAAATGTGACCTTACTCATAAATTACAGTTTGGGCAGTGAGTGAACAGATACTCAACAGGTACATTTCAATATGACAAGTTAGCCATATACATATTAGAAATATTAAGCACAGTAGTCACAATGAAGGAAACACCATTTGTCTAGAAAAGTTTTTCTTAAATCCTCAATTGTTTACTTTGAGTTAAATTTCAAATATAGAGTACAATTCTTTTTACTGGTTATGCCAAATTATAGTGATTAGTAATTGAATGGAATATTGAATTTTTCTAAGATAGTTTGAGTGTATCTGACGTAAAGCTACATATTTTATCAAATTCAGAATACGTTCATTCATTTAAAATGATTAGTGAAATACACCTACGTATGTTAATTCTACACAAGCTATATTATTTTTGTTGTTGTTATTTTAAACAGATTATTTTTGGTTTTGTGTTTTATTTGATTTATGTTTTCTTCTGCTTATTTAATTTAGTTTTATTTATTTAGTTACCAATATGGCTTCACTTATAAATGCTTTGATTTTGACAGTTTATTTTTTTTGGGCTTTTAGTTATTATGCATTTCACTGTTTTATTTCTTAAGGCTACCTGTTTAGGCAGCTTAATAGTTTATGTAACTTGTTTTGGTAAAATTGTTATATTAAGTAAGCTACCTTTTAAGTATTCAGGTTACCTGTTTAGTAGCTAATTTTATAGTAGTGCATTTTTACTTTTTTGAAACATAATCAGTCCATAAAACAATCAATGTGTACCAATGTATATTTTATGTTTGTGTAGTTTTTAGTGAACACAAGCAGGTATCTACTATGAGCTTTTAAAATTAGTGCTTTTTGCAATTTTCAGTGCTGCAATTGTAAAACGTCCCATGGTTCTTTTCCAGTTGTAGTTATACAATTACTTTTAGAACTTACACTGTATATAACTGACAATTTAAATGTGTTATCTTCACTTAACATAAACATTAAATGCATCAATTTAACTTTGGAACACCTGACAGAACTTATGATTCACACAACTAATTTGTTCTGTGATCCCATCATCCTGCATCACTGCATTTCATGAAGCAGTTTGCCTCATTTTTATCACCTTTCTCAGACTTCAAACTAAGCTTTTCTCCAAGGTATCCTCTAGTTTCATAAAGCATTAACATAAACTATCAAACTACCATATTTTAATTACAATGCATTGTTTAAATGTTTTTCTTTATTATTCCTGTGAGGATAATTCCCAAAATATGACATATAATTGTTTCCTAATCTCAGACAACATGAACTGATATTTCACTAACCTCTAATGCATGTCATAATGATCACTATTTTCAGCCATATGACTATTATTTGCAGCTCTCATTGGCTGCTAATGTTGAAAATAACAGTTGTTAAAGCAAAACATTGTTACAGCTTCGTGAGTAAAGCCTATCATTTGAGCAGCAAAAAAGGAACATCATAAAAATGTGTACATTTATGAGCTAAAGAACAAGTCAGGGAATATTAAAATAATATATTGTAGCCTGTACTTTCTAATCAAAAGTTTGTAATTATTCTGTGCAAACCAAGTAACATGTTTATCATTAGCATTTAAAGAGCTGGGTTTTATTTCTGTTACACCTTTCAATAATGAAGTTATTATTACTTCTTATAACACAACCGGGCAAGTGTCCCACTTAAATTATAATAATCAAATTTTATAAGCAATTTATAATTAGGAGTATTATTAGACTTTTTTAACATTTATTGTATATTGTATTTTTCTGGAAAGTTTTGAATAAGCAGTTATCACAAAAAAAAAAAAAAAACCTAACAAACAGATGTGTTATGAGTTTTACATTTTATACTGCATATTATAAATAGAAATTATAATTAAATACAAACTATAAATATAAGTTAAAAATAATGTATAAATAGTGAATTAATACAAACCATGAATTAAAAGCCGGCACAGAAATGTACCTGCATATGCCTATATTTCTATTATTCGGCACTCTGGGAGCCTGAATCTGCAGTAGTTGTTTCCAGCTCCAAGCACCCCTGCATCTCTTACTACAATGTTCTGTGCCTCTAGACTTTAGGCAATGGAGAGGTGGCAATTACAAGGGTGTGTCAGAGGACTAACTTCCCAAGTTGAAATTTTGTATTTGCAAATAGAAAAAGAAAATGTTTATGCAGGCATATCTCTGTACCTACCTCCTTATTTTCAGTTTCATAGTGTACACTGATCACAGCAGACTTTTTTTTACATATGTATATATATATATATATATATATATATATATATACAGGTGAAACTTGAAAAAATTAGAATATCGTGCAAAAGTTCATTTTTTTCAGTAATGTAACCTAAAAGGTGAAACTAATATATGAGATAGACTGATTACATGCAAAGCAAGATAGTTCAAGCTGTAATTTGTCATAATTGTGATGATTATGGCTTACAGCTCACGAAAAACCCAAATCCACAATCTCAGAAAATTAGAATATTGTGAAAAGGTGCAATATTCTAGGCTCAAAGTGTCCCACTCTAATCAGCTAATTAAGCCATAACACCTGCAAAGGGTTCCTGAGCCTTTAAATGGTCTCTCAGTCTGGTTCAGTAGGAATCACAATCATGGGAAAGACTGCTGACCTGACAGTTGTGCAGAAAACCATCATTGACACCCTCCATAAGGAGGGAAAGCCTCAAAAGGTAATTGCAAAAGAAGTTGGATGTTCCCAAAGTGCTGTATTAAAGCACATTAATAGAAAGTTATGTGGAAGGGAAAAGTGTGGAAGAAAAAGGTGCACAAGCAGCAGGGATGACCGCAGCCTGGAGAGAATTGTCAGGAAAAGGCCATTCAAAAGTGTTGGGGACTTTCACAAGGAGTGGACTGAGGCTGGAGTCAGTGCATCAAGAGCCTCCACACACAGACGGATCCTGGACATGGGCTTCAAATGTCGTATTCCTCTTTTCAAGCCACTCCTGAACAACAAACAACGTCAGAAGCGTCTTACCTTGGCTAAAGAAAACCAGACCTGGTCTGTTGCACAGTGGTCCAAAGTCCTCTTTTCTGATGAGAGCAACTTTTGCATCTCATTTGGAAACCAAGGACCCAGAGTATGGAGGAAGAATGGAGAGGCACACACTGCAAGATGCTTGAAGACAAGTGTGAAGTTTGCACAGTCTGTGTTGATTTGGGGAGCCATGTCATCTGCTGGTGTTGGTCCACTGTGCTTCATTAAGTCCAGGGTCAACGCAGCCGTCTACCAGGAGATTTTGGAGCACTTCATGCTTCTTTCTGCAGACTGGGATGCTGACTTCATTTTCCAGCAGGACTTGGCACCTGCCCACACTGCCAAAAGCACCAAAACCTGGCTCAATGACCGTGGGATTACTGTGCTTGATTGGCCAGCACACTCGCCTGACCTGAACCCCATAGAGAATCTATGGGGCATTGCCAAGAGAAAGATGAGACATGAGACCGAACAATGCAGAAGAGCTGAAGGCCGCTATTGAAGCATCCTGGTCTTCCATAACACCTCAGCAGTGCCACAGGCTGATAGCTTCCATACTACGGCGCATTGAGGCAGTAATTGCTTCAAAAGGGGCCCAAACCAAGTACTGAGTACATATGCATGCTTATACTTTTCAGAGGTCCGATATTGTTTCTATGTACAATCTTTGTTTTATTGATTGCATGTAATATTCTAGTTTTCTGAGATTGTGGATTTGGGGTTTTCACGAGCTGTAAGCCATAATCATCACAATTATGACAAATCACAGCTTAAACTATCTTGCTTTGCATCTAATGAGTCTATCTCATATATTAGTTTCACCTTTTAAGTTGTATTACTGAAATAAATGAAATTTTTGCACGATATTCTAATTTTTTGAGTTTCACCTGTATATATATTATTGCCAAAAGTATTGGGACATAGGGTTCAATATTGAGTTGGCCCACCCTATGCAGCTTTAACAGCTTCAACTCTTCTGGGAAGGCTATCCACAAGGTTTAGGAGTGTGCCTATGGGAATGTTTTTACCTTTCTTCCAAAGCGCATTTGTGAGGTCAGGCACTGATGTTGGATGAGAAGGTCTGCCTCGCAGTCTCCGCTCAAATTCATCCCAAAGGTGTTCCATAGGGTTGAGGTCAGAGCTCTGTGCAGGCCAGTCAACTTCCTCCACCCCAAACTCACTCATCCATGTCTATATGGACCTTGCTTTGTGCACTGGTGCGCAGTCATGTTACAAGGGGCCATCCCCAAACTGTTCCCAGAAAGTTGGGAGCATAACATTGTCCAAAATGTCTTGCTGTGCCGACGCCTTTAGCGTTCCCCTCACTGGAACTAAGGGGCCAAGCCCAATCCCTGAAAAGCAGCCCCACGCCTTAATCCTCCCTCCACCAAATTTACAGTTTGCACAATGCAGTCAGGCAAGTACCGTTCTCCTGGCAATCACCAAACCCAGACACGTCCATCAGATTGCCAGACAGCATGATTTGTCACTCCAGAGAACACCTCTCCACTGCTCTAGAGTCCAGTGACAGCATGCTTTACACCACGGCATCCGACGCTTTGCATTGCACTTGGTAAAGTAAGGCTTGGATGCAGATGCTTGGCCATGGAAACTCATTCCATGAAGCTCTCTATGCACTGTTGTATTGCTAATCTGAAGGCCACATGAAGTTTGGAGGTCTGCAGACAGTTGGCGACTTCTGTGCACTGTGCATTTCAGCATGTGCTGCCCCCTCTCTGTCATTTTACATGGTCTACCACTTCGTGGCTGAGTATGTTTTGTTCCCAGTTGCTTCCACTTTTTTATAATACCACTAACAGTTGAATGTGGAATATTTAGTAGCAAGGAAATTTCACAGATGAACTTATTGCACAGGTTGCACCACATTTGAATTCACTGAGCTCCTGAGAGCGACCCATTCTTTCACAAATGTTTGTAGAAGCAGTCTGCATGCCTAGGTGCTTGATTTTATACACTTGTGACCATGGAGGTGATTGGAACACCTGAATCCAATGATTTGTAGGGGTGTCCCAATACTTTTGATAATTTAGTGTATGTATATATATATATTCTAAATGTGTTCCAGATCAGATCTTATTACCTTAGCAGCTGAAACATCATAGGACGTATCAAAAGGAAGCTGAACCTTCAGGTACATACAATAAAAAGTGATCCCTGTTTCTGGTTGATTCACATGACAAATTACCCTTGGTGAATTCTGCCCAACTGTCTTGATGATTCAAAACATAGAATTTCAGGATATGGGGCTTATCCATTTTACAATATCCAATGTAACATTCATTAACTGTCAAAAGGCCCTTCAGCAAGTGACTGTGAACTGTACCCCATCAGCAACTGCAGAATAACTCAGTGTGTTTGATGTATCTTCATGTGAATAGGCTAGCTCTGAAGAATCTGATCCTGGATAGGTTATTAAATCCTTACCTTAGCTGACATTTTTTGCAGGGTATTAGGCAAGTATCCATCAATAGAGTCTGTAACTTGAACAAACTAGGTATACGTGGACCTTCTCTGTCACCAGCGGTAGGTATGGGCTCCCTTGGGAGACAAACAACAACCAGGGAAGACATTTGGAGGTTGCAAGAAAGTTTGATTGTTTTGATGTACCACTCCCAGGATGTTTTCCTTAAATTTGCCCCACTGGCTACAGATAACATGCTGGCAGGGAACCATATCAAATGTACAGACTCATCCCAGAACTAGTAGAGTCTTTTTACAGTCAGAGGTCAGGTCAGGAGGCAGAATCCCAAACACGCTAAAAAAATGACAAATAGGGATCACAGACTATATGGTCATAACCAGAATACTAGTCATGCTTTGCAGAGCAAATTTATCTATTTGTCATTTTAATCATGTACTTTTTTAAGTTTAAAAATGCACTTAATGCTAGAAAAAAAAATATAACCTATTGTATTTACTTTCTGTAGTATGGTAGACTAAGTACCATATGATGTGTATAGTATGATGAATCATATCACTGAATGCTATAAAATATATACTAGAGACTCAATATAGAAAGTCAGTGTAATAAAGTCAGCTAACTTAAAATACATATATACAATACTACACTGTGCTAGTTCCTGCAAACAGCATTTGCCATTTAGTATTCAAAATCCAACAAAATGTTGCAATAATAGCAAGAGCATACAGATTCTCAATCACCTTTTTTAAGTTATGCTATGTGAATGGTGACATATAACAAATACGAAGTAGGTGTTATCCCAATTTGGCTGCAAAAGTGGAAATACGCCATCAGCTGCCGAGATGTATTCAGATTCGGTAGAAGATAATGGTACTAAGATTTGCTTTTTGCTGGATCACAATATTGGACTATTGCCTAATTGAAATAAGTAACCAATTGTAGATTTGCAAGTACTGGTATCATCTACCCAATATGAATCCACAGATGTTATAAGTTCTGGGTTATCATTTGCAGATATTCTCAGGTTCATTTCTTGAGTTTGTTTAGGTACTGTATGACTTTTTTTATTATTATTTTAGTTGGTTTATTTACACATTTACAGGGAAGTGATGTAGCAGTTCCTATATTTGGAGGTGTAATGGCTACTGTGCTCCCACTGCTTGCCTGTACTGTCCATTGCTAGACAAAAAAAAAATCTTCCTTTCCTTCCAACTTTAGATAAGCTGTTTCCACGTGTTGTGTGTGCTTACACCTTTGCATTTTGACATGCCATTTGAATACCTAGATATTAGACCACATCTCCTAGATCCTTAGTTTTAGTGTTTGTTGAGTGCTGTACTCCTTTTTGCAATTTCTTCATCTTTTTGTGAGTAATACTAAATCTTCAACATAGAGTACAAGAGAAATTGACTTACCATTGTGCATTTTGAGTATAGACATGAGTCAGCTTTACTTTGTGTGAACTCTTCATCTAATAAGACTTTATTCATGATAAATTCTATACTCTAGCTGACTAAGTGCATACAATGATCTACAGTATGTAACTTACAACAAGATGTCCATCTATTATATATCCTTCTTGGTGTGTCATGTTTAGAAAACTCTGGCTGTGCCACATGAGTTTTAGACATATACAGTAAGTATTTCATTAACAATTAAACCTCTGTTGGCTGTTACCTTATTGGTATCTGCTTTCAGAATTTTGTAGACCTTTTGAGACTCACTGTAGCTAACAACCTTCCTTAGCATACGATCCCCATTTTGTACAATTTTATCTAGGAACATGCATGTATGCTTTGCTTACAGGGATTTTGATATGTTTCAAGTTAGGCTTATTTCCATTCCTTAGCTTATGTGGATTTTTCTCTCTTTACCAGCTAAATGGTTTTGGAGATAGCAGACTGTCATAACTACTTCTCCCCAGTATTTTGTTTGTATATCTTCATCAAAAAGCATGCATTTGTCATTTTCATATAATGAGGTTGATTTACTAAAAGGCAGTAGATTGTTCACTTTACAAGGGAATTTTTCCTTACCTTAGTGAATGAAGTGAAGCTCTGCTGACTTCAATCATCCAATCACGTACAAGCAAATGTATGTATTATTCCTTGTGCACGATTCACTAGATTCACTAAGCTAAGAGAAAATTCCCTCGTAAAATGAACACCCTATTTGTCTCAGTAAACTAACTCCAATATGTAGTTCATTCCCTTTGCAATAACAGTTTCTCTGGATTGCATGGTATAATTGTCTGAATTCTAATCCCATATTTCCTCAGAATAGCTTTTACCACTTGTGTACTCTAATATCTGTCTAGGGTATTTTAGTCATTTTACCAAATGTGTTGCTTTCTTGAGCAAGATGTTATTTATGTTTATCTGGAGCTTTATCTGTTCTAACAGGTAGATAAAGGTATACCTTTTATTTATTTTATTATTATTTATGTATTATAGGTATTTATATAGCACCGTCAATTTACGCAGCACTTTACATATATATATTGTACATTCACATCAGTCCCTATCCTCAAGGAGCTTACAATCTAAGGTCCCTAACTCACATTCATACATACACATACTAGGGTGAATGAGTAGACATTAATGAATGAGAGAAAATAGCTTTTCTTTCCTGGAGTATAAATGTTCCAAGGACCACATAAATCTGGAGGTATTAAATCCAGGGTCTGTCAAGCTGGGCTGTTGCTACATTAGGGAAAACATTTCCTGGTCATTTTTTCTCTTTATGCAACTGGTACACTTCATAGTTTGATGCATTGGTAAATTTTTGTGCCACTAGCATGTTTATCTTCAGCTAGTTTCTTTACAGTTCCAGGATTCTTGTGTCTATTATTACAGTGCCAGGTGTGCATACAGTTTAGACGTTTTTCCTTATTGACAGTGTTAAATACTTCACCGCATTTCAAGTGATTTAGTTCATCTATTTTTTTTTCTTTCTCAATCATGGGGCTCTTTTATGTGATAATATAGGTGAACTCTGAACTTCACCTGTTTAGTAAATGTATTCAGAATCAGAATCAGAACTATTTATTAATATTTTACAATAAAAATCATAAAAGTAAATGCAGATGTATCCATTATATGCAACAAAAAGTTAAAGATATTGGCAAAAATATAAAAGAAAGCGCCAATCAACAATAATTACTCCTATAAAGCAGCAAACCTCTAACCCAAAAAAATATTGGTGAAAAGTAAAAAAAACAAAATCAGAATGCGCTTAAATTATAAAAATCATATATCGTGCACAAAAGTCCAAACACCATAAATTTAAATAATCAAAAAAGTCCCCAGTGAACAAATTCTTATTCATGCAAAATCCAACGAATTTCTTCTTAAAGAACACCGTGTATTAATCCACCACCAGATGAATGGAATGAACTCACCAGAGCTAGATGCTGATCAAATTATAAATCAGCACAAGCGTATTTGCTCTGGGAGCGATGAAAGAATCCAAGGAAGCAACCCTCTGTAAATTGAAATCCAGACACCAGAAGCAATATTCTGCAGCCACTCTGCGGTATGGCCAGGACCCCTTATAAATCGATCATCCTCCACATAAATGGTAATATCACTCCAAAATAAAGGAAAGGCATGATGGTGCAGTAAATAAAAACTGTGTATATTTATTAAAACTCCATTGTACTCACAAAACAAGTGTCCACCTGACACTGGTATAACAAGCGGTAAAGATATAAGGAATCGTATAGTAGTGGACGAACTCCGTTCACTGCGGACACCTCGCCGACAGCTGCAGGGAACGTCCTAACGTCATCCAATTAAGCTCCGCCCTACGCGTTTCGTCACTCCGACGTCCTCACGGAGCCGCTCCGTGAGGACGTCGGAGTGACGAAACGCGTAGGGCGGAGCTTAATTGGATGACGTTAGGACGTTCCCTGCAGCTGTCGGCGAGGTGTCCGCAGTGAACGGAGTTCGTCCACTATACGATTCCTTATATCTTTACCGCTTGTTATACCAGTGTCAGGTGGACACTTGTTTTGTGAGTACAATGGAGTTTTAATAAATATACACAGTTTTTATTTACTGCACCATCATGCCTTTCCTTTATTTTGGAGTGATATTACCATTTATGTGGAGGATGATCGATTTATAAGGGGTCCTGGCCATACCGCAGAGTGGCTGCAGAATATTGCTTCTGGTGTCTGGATTTCAATTTACAGAGGGTTGCTTCCTTGGATTCTTTCATCGCTCCTCCAGAGCAAATACGCTTGTGCTGATTTATAATTTGATCAGCATCTAGCTCTGGTGAGTTCATTCCATTCATCTGGTGGTGGATTAATACACGGTGTTCTTTAAGAAGAAATTCGTTGGATTTTGCATGAATAAGAATTTGTTCACTGGGGACTTTTTTGATTATTTAAATTTATGGTGTTTGGACTTTTGTGCACGATATATGAATTTTATAATTTAAGCGCATTCTGATTTTGTTTTTTTTAAAGATATTGGCGCTGGAGAGAAAGGAAAAACTTTAAAGTCCCATTAATTGTGGGAGAGTAGTCCGTATATACTCAGCAACATCATGAGGCAGTATCCTAACAGTTAAGCTGGACTCTGTTGTGGAAGATAAAAGAAGAGAGGGGC